ATTATCTGAATGTCTCAACAGAAATCGAGACTCATCAGACCAGGCAACATTTTTCCAGTCTTCAACTGTTCAATTTTGGTGAGCTCTTGCAAATTGTAGCCTCTTTTTCCTATTTGTAGTGGAGATGAGTGGTACCCGGTGGAGTCTTCTGCTGTTGTAGCCCATCCGCCTCAAGGTTGTGCGTGTTGTGGCTTCACAAATGCTTTGCTGCATACCTCGGTTGTAACGAGTGGTTATTTCAGTCAAAGTTGCTCTTCTATCAGCTTGAGTCAGTCGGCCCATTCTCCTCTGACCTCTAGCATCAACAAGGCATTTTCGCCCACAGAACTGCCGCTCACTGGATGTTTTTTCTTTTTCGGACCATTCTCTGTAAACCCTAGAAATGGTTGTGCGTGAAAATCCCAGTAACTGAGCAGATTGTGAAATACTCAGACCGGCCCGTCTGGCACCAACAACCATGCCACGCTCAAAATTGCTTAAATCACCTTTCTTTCCCATTCTGACATTCAGTTTGGAGTTCAGGAGATTGTGTTGACCAGGACCACACCCCTAAATGCATTGAAGCAACTGCCATGTGATTGGTTGATTAGATAATTTTATTAATGAGAAATTGAACAGGTGTTCCTAATGTGTATTATTTGATGTATTATTATTAATGATGTATTATTTGTCCACTGGGGAAAGTTGTTTTCATAGTAAAAATGTCTTCATCAGCTACGGAATCATGGTATTTCATGCATATGCCTTTATTTGTTTTATTTGTTTTATTTTTGATAAAATAACGTATGACGTATGTCTCAACCATTCAGAAAGCTGCAAGAAATTACATTTGCGCTGAACTATTTCCCATTTCCAAGTAGATTATAACCGACATCTGTAGCTTGTCATTTCTTTTTTATTTCGGCCACAGTCCGAGGTTGTGACTGAGGCTACAGCATACGGCGTCTGCAACCTTTTGCCACTCAAGTGCCTTTTTGGCATTAGTAATGCCCACACTGTGCCCTCCAAACAACATTTTTCTCCTCTTTTCCACCTCGCCAACGATAACTTCTACTTCACATTGAGTGAAGTTAAGTTTTTTTTATTTCCTCTCTATGTTTGCCATGATGATTTCGCAATCAATGAATATTAACTTATTTTCACGGACTATTTATGGGCAACTATGGGCGTGACATGAAGCCGCAAAAGCTGCGCTACATTTAGAATTGATTGTGATTTATTAAGGGAAAAATGCGTAGGATGTGCGTGCGCACGGTTTTATAAATCCGAATATTTCTGTGCGTACGCACGTCCTATGTTTCATCCGTACGCCACTTCTGACGCAAATCCTACGCAAAGTTTTATAAATGAGGCCCCTGGGGCCTCATTTATAAAACTGTGTGTAGGATCCTTACTAAAAGTGTACGTGCGCCCGAAAGCCAAAAATGGCGTATAAAAATATTCAGACTTATAAAACCGTGCGTACGCCAGAACCTGCGCAGAATTCACTTTATAAATCCCAGTCAGCGGAAGATTGTGCGCACATGCGTCTCCTCCCCGAAACAACCATATATGGAGCTTGCAACGCCTAGTTTTACTATGCATATCCTCACCTGCATATCATTTGCATATGATTATTCATCCACGTGATAACATGTTTAACTTTAGGCCTACAAGACATGTAAAATATGAAAGGATGTGCGGTCACATTAATTACATTAATAAAAATAATTTAGTAGCCGATCCTTGACTTGTTTTTGAATAAATAAATCAAATAGTCTAAAATACATTTCAGAGAAAGTTTTTCTCAATCTTTTCCACTGGCCAAATAGTATTTTTAATTGATTTATATTTTTAATGGAAACAGATAGACCATTATCTGCATTATTTGCACAAAACTATTTTCTCAGACAATCTGCTATTATCATGATAAGCAATTATCTATGTAGTTAAAACATTAAAACACAGCATGCCAGAGGAAAAGTGTTTGAAAGCATTGCATCCACAACAAATATTTATATTTATTGAATATAAAAAATAAGATTAAATCAGATTAAATATGCCATTAATCAGAATGGCATATTTAATCTAAATGTTTATATCAGAAGTAAAACATAGTTTAAATCATTCTTTTATTTATTTAAACTGTTATTGTGAACATATTTCACAGAACACTGTATTTACTGTATTTATGATTATAATAAAGATTTACGGTTTTAGATAGGCTGCGTCAGTTTCACTAAACGGCCCAACGCGCTCGCTGGCGCGGACATTTAAGAAGGGATGGATGTTTGCTTCATGTGATAGGCTTGGTGAGTGAAATTATATTTGTGTTATCTTTCTGTATAGGTATAGTTTTCTTTAGATTTTCTGTCTAAAAGTGACCAAAAAGACATTTAACTCCAGCTCACCATCGGTGTCGCCAAACAGCTCCATCTCCAAAACGTTCGTACGCATGGGTCAGAGTTTGCGTGCAGGTGCGCAAATTTTCCAGTCAAGTTTGTTTTTATAAATTACAACTTATGCGTCGGAAGTGGCGTACGCATCTTTCAGGGCCCGTTTTGTGCGTAGGCCTACGCAACGGTTATAAATGAGGCCCCTGGAGCGGATTGACGACTGTGTGCAGTGTGAAAGCTGTTAACATGGGTATGGAAAAAAATATGCACTGCAAACGGAGTATGTGTGAAACAGGCGTAAGCATACATCACATAATATCAACCACAACAATAATAAAGGAGACAACAGCAAAAAAGAAGGGTAAAAGAGAAACATGCGTGTGATGCTGACACAGGAACCGGCCAATAGAGAGCCGGCGTTCTGACTAGAACCCGCAAGTGCTGCGCTGTGTTTACAAGTGAACAGAGACAGGGAAGACATTGTTGAATAAAGTCGTTATTAAAAAATAAAATAAAATAAATAAATAAATAAAGTCGTTATTTATTGATTATTAGTCACTTCATAACATTACATTTGAACCACCGTATAGTCACATGGACTATTTTAAAGTCCCCGTGAACCGGAAGTTGCAAACGACTTTTCTCCAGTGTTGTGACGTATTTCCGAGAGAAACGGAATACTAAATGAGGCAAAATGGTGGGCGTGGCTTTTTTCCCAACTAGCACCTGATTGGATCTAGAAAAGTAGGTGTTTTCATTCAGCCTGTCTACTGTCAGTTGGAGGGGCGTGGTTACGGATGTTAAGAAGACGCCCAAACCATGAAACCTACGTCATCAGGCAAGGTCCTCCAACGCAGAGGGGAGGGGACATTTCAGATTTTGATTAAAGATTACGAAGCCAAAATTTTTTTGTGTGTGGATTGACTTGCATGGATGAATTGTTCACCACAAAACGATCAATTTAGGCAACCAAAGTAAGTATGGTCAATTTTGAATTCATGGGGACTTTAACGATGTGTTTATACCTTTCTGGGCCTTGAATTCAGGGTTTATGACGTGCTGTCAAAGGATGATCACCAAGCTCTCGGATTGCATCAAAAATATCTTAATTTGTGTTCTGAAGATGAATGAAGGTCTAACGAGTTTGGAACGATATGAGGGTGAGTAATTACTGACAGAATTTTAATTTTGGGGTTAATAGTTTGTGAGATGTGAAACACATTAAACATCAGGCAGTTTATGACTAATCAGAATGTAAATCTCCCTTACTACTACTACTACTACTACTAACTCTTTACATTAAAAAAGTGAAGAGTAGGTAGGTATTATTCCATGATAATACTAATTATTATAGTAAGCTGAATGTGTTTGTCCTGCACTGCCTCCTGCTGGTGAAGATGCAGTATCTCAGTTCCGCTGCTTCTGATTTACACACTGAAATTCCGCCTCGCACGTTTAATATCTGATCAAACTGTTGCTGTTAACACAGATATGAGATATGAGATGATATGCATCTGAATCCAGTGAAGGAGCTGAAGCTTGAATCCCTCCTCATGCAGATCAGAAGTGTGTAACGAGTTTACCGTCATCATGATGATCTGCAGGAGCTCTGCTGCATTACTGTACAGGAAACTCTGCAGCACTGAAGGTGTTTCACAGCAAACCAGACACACACACACACACTCACGCACACACACATACGCACATACACACTAGCACACACACACTAACACTTACACGCGCGCACACACACACACACACACAATCACACACACTTTCAATTCAAGAAAGTAACGTCTAACTTTTTTTTTAATGTTACTGTTTTAGAACGTTCAGAGAACATTCAAAAGTAACATTCCCATAATGATCAAATGGAATGTTCTAACATTCGCATAACAAAACAGATTTAAATTTAAATTCCATTCAAGGTACTTTATTGGCATGATTGTGTTTAAAGCATTAATACAAGAAAAGGAAATTTACAATATAGCAGTGACAAATTACAATAAAGTGCAAAATAAGATGGCATTGATTAAAATTAAAATAAGATAAGATTAGAATTTCATTTATTACAGTTCAAATGTCTATATAATATAGGCACACACACACACACACACACACACACACACATACATATATAATCCAAAGGGGAAACCAGTTTTTTACCCGACTGCCTTGTTTTAAAGCATAAACACAGTTCATTTTAACACATTTGTCAGTAAACAAGACTTAATATGTTCAGTCATTTTGCTTCTCCAATAATTGTATCTTGATTTAAGAATGTTTAGATTTTAGAGAAATGTTTAAGTCATTTTAAGTTTTTAATACAGCACTTTTTACAATACAGATTGTTTCAAATCAGCTTTAAAGCGTTTCTGTTTAGAGGAAGAACCTCATTCTCATGCATCTGGGTCATCTGAGGGTTTAGTCCTGTTAACACACAACAACGACAGGCCAAACTGCTATACTTTCATACTCTGGTTTTATATTCACATACTCTCTCTCTCTCTCTCTCTCACACACACACACACACACACACACACACACACCCTAAACAGGAAATAAAGCAAGATGTAAATGAGGTGAGAGAGAGGAAGAGGTTGTACATTCTAGTGTGTGTGTGTTAGTCAGTTTTCCTGCACCAGTGAACACACACACACACACACACTCATGCTGTGAGTGGTTGTGTGTGTTCGTGTGATGATGGACGCTCTGGAGATCTCCACACGAAACCCTCAGGATGATTACGAGATTCTGCTGCGTGTCGGTGGAGGAACGTATGGAGAAGTTTATAAGGTACATGTTTCACTCCACTCTCGTTCTCAGCCGCCCTGCTCAGTTTATGAAGATTCAAGAGGTGTGTGTGTGTGTGTGTGTGTTCCTAATTAGCTGTCCCCAAAGATGGCAATATCTGAAATCCTTGTACCTGTGGGGACATTTTTGGCCCCCATGAGGAAATACGCTTATAAATCATACAGAATTATGTGTTTTGACAATTTAAAAATGCAGAAAGTTGTGTGTGATTGGTATGTTTAGGGGTTGTGTGTGGGTTTGTTTTGTACCTATAGCCTTATTTTGAGGACAAATTTGTACAAAAAGTGAGCTAAATCTGACAAAACCTTCTTTTGGTGACGTCCTTATTTGTAAAAACGGTAAATAAATTCAGTTTTTTTTTATAAAATTATAAAAAATATATAAAAACTGCTTAAAGTTTTTGGTCTGTGTGTGTGTGTGTGTGTGTGTGTTAGAGTCAGGTTATGATATTAATAACTAGTTTCATGAAAAACTTTGAGTCTATGCAGGGTCCCCGTTTAGATGTAAGTAAGTGTGAGTAAGTGTGTGTTGTTTCAGGGCTTAAACACACCACATCCGGTCTAATGTCAGACCTGTGAAGGTCACTGGAGATCTGAGCATCCCAGCACCAGCAACATTATACAACGTTTCGTTATGGGTTATCAGGTGTTTAATAATGTTCTCAAAACGTTAGAATAAAACATAATTTTGTTGGATGTTTGTTAAAAATGCTTCTACTTGTTTCCGAACGTTCCGAGAACTTTCACAACTAACGTTCCCACAATGTTTCCCATATTGCAAAAGTAAAACATTTATAATAAAAAAAATGTAATGTTTAGAAGACTATTCAGAAATAATATTTTCATAACTTAATTGTAACATCCACCAAACGTTCTTAGGCCGTGTGTCCACCAAAGCGTTTTTAGCCGGCTGAAAACGCCTGACGCTTCGCTGAAACGCCTAGCTGTGGCGCTAGAGAGCGTTTTGGCAGCGCAGTGTTTTTTCAGTTGAGACGCTTCGTTGCTATGATACGGAATATCCGCAGCACAGTTTACTTGTAGCTGATTTCACAGATAGTTTGTTTCATACTAAAAATTTATTTTTCATGTTGTACAGAAAGAATGTTGTGACAGTTGGTCGGTGTGGTATTAGCCCCGCCCCTCCTCCACTGTGATTGGACGGCTGGGTAAAGTGACAGTGATGAGCGCTGCGTTTTACCCAAAGTTGAACATTCTTCAACTCTCGGCGACCAGTAAAAAACGCCGGGCGCCCAGCGTGAAAAAACCGCTCAGCGCCTCGTTAAGCTCATGGCGTTTTAAAAACGCGGCGCTCCAATTGAAAACAATTGAAAAAATACGCCAGCCGCGTGAAAAAAACGCTTTGGTGGACACACGGCCTTTAAACGTATTTTTTAGCTGCCCAGGTAACAAATTATGTTATTAAAACATGTGGCTGTTCACATTTGTCAAGTTAAAACATCCAGTCATTTTTGACAAAATTTTATGTTTTTTTTTTTTTTTTTTTACTTCATTTGAATGGTATGAAACTTGGTAAAGGTTTTGGCACTTGGTGTGTGAACACACACACAAATCATGATTTGAAACGTTCAAAGAGTTCTGAAAAAATAGCCACACTTAGGCCCTGTTTACACGAGAACGCTCGCGGGTGAAAACGTAAAAATATTTTATCGGATGTGCCTTTCGTTTACACGGCGACGGCGTTTTTGAGGCTTAAAAACGCAAAAAAGTGAAACCACCCTCCAGAGTGGAAATCTTAAAAACGCTCCACCGCCGCGTTCCCGTGTAAACGGTAAAAACGCAAATGTCTGCTTGACAGTGAAGGTTGTACGCAGGCGCGTGGACTTGGTGTTGTTATAGTATGCACTCCTTGCCACCTGGAGTGCAGACTACATTGAATTTCACAGACTTTTGCGTCACCATCTGCACGCGGATTTCCCACACAAAAAGCTCGTCTAAACGCAGAATAAAAAGTGATGACGCAACGCCACTTTTGAGTTTTCTCTTCAGAATCGTTTCCATGTAAACATAGCCTTAGTGGGAAAACGCAGATATTTCTCTGCGTTTTGCCCTCTCATTTACACGAAAACGCCGTTTTTATCACAGAAAACGATTATTTCTAAAAACTCCGGGCAAAGTGGAGATTTCTGAAAACGCCGGTTATGTGTTGCCGTGTAAACTGGGAGAAACGGGGTTTTAGGTTCTCTCTTGTCGATTCTGAGGTTTCTGATTGGCTTGCATGGCTTTATCCTTCTCCCTACACTGCCGCCCATAGGTTTGGCATAGTTATGATGGCGCTCGACGGCGTATTTATG